ACAGTTTGAACGAATTTACACATATAAATATATATATCTATTTTATTTATTTTTTTATTTTATTTTTTATCGTATTTACATATTTATTTTATATTATATATAAATATATATATAATGAAAATTATATATTTATTTAATCAATATCATTGTACGTGTACTTTAATAGTAATATATATATATATATATATATATATATATATATATATATATATATATATATATATATATATAAAATTATATATATATTATCAAAATACACTTAGTGTATGTGTATTTATTTGTATGTGTATATATGTGTATATATATTGTGATAAAGTGAAGGCAGATAGGCCTTTTAACCCCAGGGGGAGTATGTGTAGGATGTGTTGTAGGCAACACAAAACACTGTTTAGTTATGGGCCCCTGGGGTGGAGCATTTGGAGAGAAGGGTGGGCCAATGCTCCACTCCACAGTTTAGTGGTTTTCTGGGGAGACATAGATCCAGACCAGGGTTTTTTGGACCGTCTCCAACCCACTGCTCAGCTGCAGTTAATGAGCTGTTGCAGTGGGAATAAACCCCTCCCTGCTAGGCAGGAAAAGGAGAGGGATTGCTGGCTTCCTCCCAGGAAGCAGGTAGGAGAGAGGCTGTTCTCTCCAGATAGAGTCAGGGAGACTAGGAGCACTGGGAGTGCAGAAAGGAAAGCAGTCAGGCTAGCTAGCAGAGTGTTGCTAACTAATAAGGTTGGTGCCATATGTTTTGTTAATTTAACCCTGATAGAGAGGGATGTTCAAAGTGAGTTAGTGCTCAGACCGAGCTAGGTTTTTGTTTATAGGGTTTTGTGTTACATTTATGTTTTAATTTACTGCTGTATCCTGTGTGGATTTGCAAATAAAGTGCCTGAGTATATGCAATTACAAGGACTGTGCATGTTTTTACCCTAGAGGGCCGTGCTACCTGCAAACAAGGATCACAATATATATATATACTTAGATCATATATATAATAAATATATGTATGATCTAAGTATATATAATTGAATTTTCAACTGTTTTAAACTGTTTTAATTTTTTTACAGACAGCAGGGGGAGTACCTGTCATTACAGGCACTCCCACTGCTGGCAATGCCGTCCATGTGATCGTGAGGTCCCCACAAGGACCTCACAATCACAAGGCCCAGGGGGGCCCGAAGAGGATGGAGGGGGGCTCCGTGGGATCCCAGGTAAGTCCCCAAACCGCGATCGCCAGTATGGAATCACCGGCGACCGCGTAAGTAGAAAGGACGATTTGGGTGTTCTATGCCGCCCTCCGGCGTTTAGAGCCAGTTCCCCAAGGACGGCATAGAACGCCCGACGTCCTTAAGTGATTAAACAAATGTGATGATATTAGGGTTATTTGATTTATTTTTACACTAGAGGCAGCTGCCCTGGTCCTGCAGGAGTAAAGGGAACGGCGTTCCTGCTATGAAAAAAGTGCAGGAACGCTGTTCCCACGCGTTCCTGCAGGACTCAAGCCCTGATGGAGAGGATGGCAGCTCTCAAATGATGGGAATGCTTAAATATGTGGAGGAAAAAGGCCACACATAGTGATGTAAAATTAAAATACAAATACACTTTATTATATTGCACTTATAGACAAGATGAAAGTCTTGAACATATCTCTACATCAAGTGGAACTCAATAGCAGCGTGGTGGTTCAGGAAAAAACACCTTCAGCAGCAGGAAATAAAACAAAGATAAAACAAGGCTAATATAAAAAATGTAAAGTCCATAAAGAGAAAGATCTAACGTGTTTCATCCAATAGGGGGACTCCTTCAGCAGCAGGAAAAAACACCTTCAGCAGCAGGAAATAAAACAAGGCTAATATGAAAAATTAAAAGTCCATAAAAAGAAAGATCCAACGCGTTTCATCCAATAGGGGAAGTCCCGGGAAAGTCCTTGGAGGCCCATCTGACCCTATACCACCATAAACGGTATCCAGCACCTGGCTCCCGCTAAAGGGCTAAGGCCTCTACCAACAGTCCCAACCGGGACACATAGAAAACACTCCCACACCCGAACGGTGTCACTCAGGCCATACGGGGCCCTACCTAGAGATGCATAGCAAAGTCAAGTCACAGTCATTAACACAGAAGAATAGTGAAAAAGAAAGTACAGAGATGTCAACTATGGATTCACCTTCAACCGCTATGAGCCCCAACACCGAAAGGGCCTAGACTTCCCACAGACAGGCCACACGGGATACGTAAAACACAGCGGGCTTAATAATCTTGGGGGGGGGGGGGGGGGATCGATGAAGTGACGACACATGCCGGTCATGTCCCACGGATGATGAGGAGTGATAACCGTGGATATATGGAGTAAAAGGGCGTGAGATTCGGCAAGTTGATTTCGGCGTGAGACAAAAGTAATACAGGCAGACCGAGGAAAAAACTAAATAAAGCGGCTACAGATTCTGGACGGATATTAGTATTACCTTATCAGGAAAACACAGTTGGCACGCTGGAAGATTGCAGCGCGTGGGGAGAAGAGCGTTACAGGTGGACTAAAGGAGAAATTAACCTAAAAAGGAATTCTACCATAAACGCAAGTAACAAGATATTTTTATACTGCACAAGTAAAAAGGAATTCTACTAAAAAAGCAAGTAACAAGATTTATATATACTGCACAATTGAGTCAAGATACAATGTTCATATGCTGCATCTGCTTATGGTAACTGCTCAGGGATTTTAAGGGTAAAAAGGAATTTTACCAAAAAAGCGAGCAACAAGATTTTTATATATTGCTCAATTGAGTCAAGATACAATCTTTATATGTTGCATCTGTTGAATGGTTTATGATAACTGCCCAGGGACTTTAAGGGTAAAAATGAATTTTACCAAAAACGCAAGGAACAAGCTATACATATACTGCACAATTGAGTCAAGATACAATCTTCATATGCTGTATACAATCTTTATATGCTACAGCTGTTTTAGGATAATTACCCAGGTATTGTAAGGATAAACAGGAAATTTACCAAAAATCCAAGTAACAAGATATATATAAATATATTGTACAATTGAATCAAAATACAATCTTCATATGCTGCATCTGTTTATGGTAATTGCCAGTGGTGTATCCTGGTTTTGTGCTGCCCTAGGCCCCCAGCCTCCTTACGTTTGGGAATGCTGGGGGGGGTTCTCCCTCTCCCTCGGGTCTAGTGGGGCTGCTGGGCGGTCGGGCGGTCGGCGCTGGCGAGGGAGCACTTTCCCGGAGCGCTCTGCTCAGCTCCCTCGCGTGCTGCAGAGTGATGCCGGGAGCCGGAATATGATGTCATATTCCGGCTCCTGGCATCACTCTGCGGCGCTCGAGGGAGCTGAGCAGAGAACTCACTAATCAGTGCTCCCTAGCCAGCGCCGCCCGCCCGACCAGATTGTTAGTTAGCCGCAAGGCTAACAAGACATTTGCCCTGGGCATTTGGGGGCGGCTTTTTTTGCTGCCCCCTGGAAAATGACGCCCAAAGCAAATGCCTTGTTTGCCTCACGGCTCATACGTCCCTGGTAATTGCCCAGGGACTGAACTAATCAAAGTGGGAAACTGAAGGTTCATATTGTCCAAAACTGTGTTTTCTGACGGTATATAAAAGATTTAAGCAGAATCTCGATAACATATCATAATATCATATCATAATAGTCCAGGCTGCGAGAGCCGCTAATTAATTAATATTGGTTATTGAAAAATGTCTGAGAAAAGCTGTTACTAGCAAATGTAAAAAGAAAGAAAAAAAAAAGTGAAGGGAGGCAAACAAATCAAAAAGCGATTTCTACCAAAGATGCAAATAACAAGATATATACAAACTGCACAATTGAGTTAAGATACAACCTTCATATGCTACAGTTGCTTATGGTAACTGCCCAGGGATTTTAAGGCAGATTTGGGGATGCTATTAGCAGACCTATACGCACCCAAGAGACATTATAACTACACCAGAGATCAACTTAGAGAGAAGAAAGAAAAGTTATCTTTTTCTGTTTTTGTTTTTTTAATTATGCACGTGGACTTGCGGTAATGGCAACCAAGAAAAGTGATCCTAAACAGGGAAATAGAAGAAGTAAGAAGACAGATCAAAAAGTTGAAAAACGTCTGTCAAACTACTTCTCACCTCAAGATAAAGAAAAAATGGAAAAAAGAGCAAGCCTTCATGAAATAGAGATGCATAGCGAGGTCAAGTCACAGTCATTAACACAGAAGAATAGTGAAAAAGAAAGTACAGAGAGTACAGAAAGTCAACTATGGATTCACAATCTATCGAAAAAGAATATCTAAATGCATGTCTCCAAGCACAATTAGAAAATATTAAAAATAAAATGCATTTAATGATAAAGGATTTCAAGGTTGAGATGACCAAAATCACAGCAAAGGTGAGTGCACTGGAAGACAAAATGGAATATTCAACGGTACAACACGGTCTACAAGAATAAAAAATACGGGGCGTGGAAAAGAAAATTGAATCAGTAGAAGCCAAAATCATCAACAGCGAGGATAGGGCAAGGAAAAATAATATCAGAGGAATTCAAGAAGCTATAACAACAGGAAATTTGGAAACAGGAAAGGGATTTTGATAGGTTGGAAAGAATATGACGTTTGGGTCTGGTTTTTTTTTCTCTTTCTTCTCCTTTCTCTTGAGGTTGATTAGACTAAACCAATATATGGGCATAATGAAAGTGATGGAAGATAAATCTGAGGGATTAAGGTTGTTTATTTATTTAATTATTTTTGGGGATTGCAAATGGATACACTTAACCCCTTAAAGACGCAGCTTCAAAAACTGGACTTACCCTTAAGGACAAATGTAAAGGCTTGGCCTGCAGTTTTGGGAGGGGCATGTTACCCTATTTAAACCCCCTACTCACCTTCCTCCATCCCGTACATTTTTTAGCGACTCGCATGTCGCTATGTCCGGTCGCCATCTGCTCCCTCGTGGTTTCTTCTTACCTGGCTTGCCGGTTTTTCCCTCGCCGATTTTCGTTCCGTCCGCGGTCATTTCTGAGCGTTTCTGCACCATGGGTCTCCTGTGGCTTTCTCCCGGGTGTTTCTGGGCGAAGGCTGGTTCATGTATCGGGGGTTGCCCCCTCTCCCTCCCTCCAGATGCTTGTGGCTGTTTAGCAGGGGTGTTGCCATGGTGGGGGTCCCTTTGCTATGCTGTCCATCGTGGGGATTCGTGGTTGCATGTCGGGCAGTGGCATGGTTTTGGTGAGTGCTGCTCTTTGTTTCCCGTTTCGTGTGGTCTCGGTCCGCGGGCTGGCCTCTCTGCAGAGCGGGCTGTGGGTAGTTGGTTTTCTGTCTGGAGCTCTGCCTCTCGTCCTCTGCGTCACCCCCTTTCAGCTCTGGCTCTCGTGGAGTCAGCCCGGCTACGACGCTGCTCACCTCCGCTGGCGGTTCAGCTTGCTGCATGTCCCGTTCTACCTTTATTGTGGTTAACCCCCTCGCTGCCGCAATGCCTTTCTCACATTAACAGTTTCTCTCACTACCTATTATGCACCCGTGCAGCTGCCCCGCATACCTTCTCATGTACTTTTAACTTTTATTTTTTGTGTCCTGTTATTCTATTTTTTCATTTGCTTTCCCCCTTTATAAAAAAAAATATATATAAAAAAAAAAATAGGTAAGGATACTACATACTAATTATAAATGCAAAAAAAAGTTTTTGTTTTATTAGTTCAGAATCATTGTAGCTGAATAAACTGATGGTTCCATGTTTTTTCCTTTAATTTGCTGGATGGCTGTTTTCCATATTGTTCCTTAAATACAGAGCCTCCATTGTTATGCTCATTGGGATTATGTACAAAGTTTTAGTGGGCGCTTCGCTGAACAGCAGAGCCTGTATCTCGCTCTATTTTCTGTATGGTCAAGGTCAGTTTCAATGACCGCTCGCTTGTTCTCCGCCATTGACTTGCACTCTCTTAAACAGTTGTCAATGTAATGCCTCCCAACACTTATTATCTGTCGCTCTCAATCCAGACTTTGCGAGTGGGAATGTAATAATAAAAAATAAAAAAAATTAATAATAATAGTTTTTTCAAAAATAAACTATATATATACCTATATAACTTAGATGGATAATTTATCCCATTATGGTTTCCTTTTCTTGCTGCGTTGGTACGCGATCTTGCGCTTCGTAGTTGTTGTTCACGTGCGGTTTCGGTCCCTTTCGCAAGCGTCCGTTTGGTTTCAGGTTTTCGTTTCCTTGTTTGGCTGACCCACGCCTGCCCGCCATACTTGGGCTGCGTTATTTTCCAGACGGATCGTTATGTTTTGCTACCAAGCGCACGTTCTGGCCTTTTTTATGAGCCCCATGGGTTTTACACGCATAGGCACATGTATTTATTTTATTCATTTCCTACTTGCGTACCCCATACAGCCTGACCACCTGGACTCCGACGGGCTCACTCTGCCCTCCAGTTACGGTCGGCCCTACGATTCTTCCTCGTACCCCGCCCCCTCTTTCTTTTCACTCACAGTGCATCCCCTATCTCACTCGTTACCCTCCCCTCTTAGTTAGCTGTGGCTGGCTATCGGGGTCCTAGATGTCCACTAGTTGTGATTCCCCCTGGCTTCTTCACCTTAGGTTAGTGGTCCTGCGAGGCCAACACCCATCCTCATGCTCGGAGGTACTACGCCCCTCGGGCCAAATCATAGTTAGTCGCCTCGCATTGTGGTATAGGGAGGGCCTCACCTGTCACTCCCATTCTATCTTATGTTTAGCTGTCACCGAGAGGCCAACACCCCGCCACAATGTTTCGGTGGCCACGTTATCCCCTTGCGCCAACGCATAGATAGAGCCTCTCATGCCGCTTGGCATCTAGCAGGGCCTCACCTGTCACCAGACCTAGTTTTAATTGTTTCGCCTTTTGGCTTAGCTAGTATGCCAGCACTCCCACGCACGCTCTCACACACACACACACACACACTCACACTTGCACTGGGTTTCGTGACCCCCGTGGGGTTTACACCAACTGTTTTGTTACCTACTGTCGGGCTCGCTCCTTTCAGCCATCTGCCTGGACGCTGACGTGCTTGCTCTGCTTTCGGTTTCGGTCGGCTCTGCGGTGTTTCCTCGTTCACACTCACGTCTTCGATACATATTCAGCAAATCTATTCTCTCACACTAACTTCCCTCCCCTCTTAGTTAGCTGTGGCTGGCTGTCAGGGTCCTAGGTGTCCACTAGTTAGTAATTCCCCCCCTTGCTTCTTCGCCTTAGGTTAGTGGTCCCGCGAGGCCAGCACCCATCCTCATACTGTGAGGTACTACGCCCCTCGGGCCAAATCATAGTTAGTCCCCTCGCATTGTGGCACAGGGAGGGCCTCACCTGTCACTCCCATTCTGTCTTATGTTTAGCTGTCACGAGAGGCCAACACCCCGCCACAACGTTCAGTGGCCACGTTATCCCCTCGCGCCAACTCATAGATAGAGCCTCTCTCGCCGCTTGGCGTCTAGCAGGGCCTCACCTGTCACCAAACCTAGTTTTTAATTTCTTCGCCTTTTGGCATTAGCTAGTATGCCAGCATGGACACTAACACACTTTCACACTCACGCGCACATTGGGTCGCTTATGCGCTGTTTTATTCATCTCTTTTTCTAGCAGGTCTCCGCTGCTTGGCGATTGGCGTGGTTTTCTCCGCCTGAGCTCTCTGGCTAGGTCTGAGCCTCATTGCGCTGTGGAGTTTCGGTTACTCCTACTCTCCCGTAGCCGCTGCCGTCCCCTGCGTTTTAGGGCCCGACCACAGCCTGCCAGCCTTGCAAACTCATGGGTGTCATCTTTTCACATCTGACTCTTTTTCCACGCTCGCGGTACGTGTGTTAGGGCCTTCTTCCCCTTTGAGGCTCCTTCGCGTATACTGATACTGTATCTGTTGCTATGTTGTCTGCATTTTGGTTTTGCTTCTTTTGCCACCTCTAACTTGCATCAACTCTACCTATCCGGTTTACAACTCCACATGTTGTACCGGTTTACCATTCATAAGCAGTTTTCATGTCCTCATACCATACGCGTTTCAGGTTCCGGGAAATTTCAAATTTACAGATTTCACATTAACATCCAAGTATCTCAACCACTATCAGACCTATTAAAGGCCTGACACTACGAACCGGGCATCAGCTTTCAATGTAGGGCAATAACTGCTTGATCAAAGGAAATCTGACTGCCATTATGGGGTCAAGAAGGAATTTTTTCCCAGCTTGTTGCAAATTGGCAGCGCTTCAAACTGGGTTTTTCGCCTTCTTTTGGATCAACCGTTTTGTACTTGGTGGGAACTAGTCACTTAAACTATGTAATCTAGTTGTTGAGCCACTATACCTGCTTCCACAGTTTTCTTGGGTATCACATACTTTCCCACAGCCACCACGTCCTTCTTGTAGCATTATCTCAGGAAGTCTCACCTATTCATGCAGTCTATTGTTTACCTTCTCTACCCCCACACTTAGTCTACCCTAGAGGGCCAACATACCTTACTTCCCCTTGTATAATTAAGAGTGCCGGTTAAAGTGCTGGACAACTATTTACTCGCTCGGCATTTACCATTTACCATATAGCTAGGCAATTAGGTTTTGTTGATTGTTTTTCGTTTCTGACAGGTATCCAATTTTTGCCCTCTTTTATTACAGGCCTACCACGACGTCTGTTCCGGCACACCTCAACCGACTAATTTTCCTTTTAATTCCTATACGGCCTTATTTGCCCCTCACTATTTGTAGGGTGAGGGGGTATGTAGGGGATAGGTTTTTTTGGGTGGGGGGGGTGGTGACTAGGGGCTTGAGACCCCTAGTCACCTTGATTGGGATGTTTTGTTTAGGCCTCACCTACCGCCAGGGGTAAGCCAGAGTGGCTGTAGGTCCTCTTACAGCTTATTAGGCCCCTACCTACCGCCAGGGGTGGGCTGGGGAGTGAGTAGGTCCCCTACAGCGGTTAGCCCCCAACCACCAGCCAGGGTGGGCCGGGGAGTGTAGGTCCTCTTACAGCGCGATTAGCCCTACCCACCGCCAGGGTAAGTGGGGAGTGACAGGTCCCCTTATTGTTTATTTTAGCCCCTCACCCACCGCCAGGGGTAGCCAGGGGAGCATGCAGGTCCTCTTTATTGTGCTTACTTAGCCCCACCACCAAGCAGGGGTAGGCTAGGGAGTGACAGTAGGTCCCTCTATTATGTATAGGCTCCCACCCACCGCAGGGGTGGGGGCCGGGAGTGGCTGCAGTCCTCTCATAGCCTTGGCTTAGGCCTCACCCACCGCCAGGGGGCAGTCCCTCAGCTTTTAGTTAGGCCCCACCCACCAGGTGTGGCACAGGCCCCTGCTGTTTTATTATCCCCACCCACCGCTCAGGGGTGGGGGCCGGGGGAGGACAGTAGGTCCCCCCCCTCATTATCTTCATGGCCCCCACCCGCCAGGGGTGGGGGAGGGGGGGAGGACAATAGGTCCGCCCCCCCTTATTGTAATTTATGTCTTTTTTTTCAACAGTTAGCAGCCATAGGCTTCTCACTGTTTAGTAGACATGCCCCTACTCGCGGTATAGCGAGTAGGGGCATTTGGGAGATTTTAATCTCCCTTGTGCTATTATGGGGGTCATATTGACCCCCATAGAGTGAGAGGGGGTACTGGGGGGGGCTTAGGAAGTGGTGGGGAGCACTGCTCCCTGCCGCTTCTATCTTTACATATTACAAGGAGGGAGCTGCATGCCGGTAGCTCCCTCCTTGTAATAAACTGAACGAACATACTAACACTGATACATTGTGTTAGTTTGTTCGGCTGATATTTCTATTCACTCATTCGTCTGTCTGATGAATGAATGAATAGCTGAAATTCCCGTTCGCATGTCCAGGTGTTACACTGGGCATGTGCAGGAATCTCAGTGTCTGTCTAGTGTGGGCTGATGACGTGTCCCACAGGGACTTCATCTACCCACACAAAGATGGCGGCGCCCTGAATCAAGATCGGGGCAGAAAATAAGGATTAAAAAATAGGTAATCTGGGGGGCTTAGGGGCATTTGGGGGTGACTAGTAGGTCAATTGGATGTAGTGGAGGCAGGAGGGGGGTTAAAAAAAAAACGGGATTCGGCATGACAGTGCCGCTTTAAAGAAAAAGATGAGCTCTCTCTTCTTTCCTATAAATAAAGGGTTATAAATTGTGATAGTAAATGAAGAGGAGATGCCTGTGTAGACAATAATATCAAACAAGCCACACAGTGAGGCTGTATCTAGATAATGTTGCAAAAGTCTGTTAGACACAATTGCTTTGATTCAGTCTTTAAAAAGTAAATGCAAAACAGATGTATCAACCAACAATCTAACTGCCCCTGTCTCCTTATACATGCACAAAAAAACTGTGAATAACTCTCCATGGAGTGGAAGTCTGGGACAGATTAGGAGGAAAAAAGAAGGAAAGATTAAAATAAAGTTAAGT